GTTTCACTCAGTACAATGTTTTCAAGGCTCAGCCATGTTGTAGCATTTTTTTTAGATATTTTTTAAAAAAATTTTACTGTTTCATGATTTCATAAAGTCTGAGAACCATGGATGATTCTAAAATTCCCTCCAGCTCTATAACAGATTGGTTTATTCTGTTGTCTAGTTAGCAGTTCGACCATGGGGCCACTGCCAATGAGACCCTCGGAGCCTCAGTGGATGAGCTTCTGTTCTTCCAGTCTGCATCCTCCCTCAAAACTACTTCCCTTTACCTTTCAGCCAAAGGTGAAGTCCTAATGCCTGGCAAACCGTGTCCTCAGTGGAATCCCTCTCAACCACATTAGGAAAGGCAGCACAGGAGAGGGGTTAGAAGCTCCAGTTTTGAAGTTAAGCAGTCTTGTGCTAAAATCCTAGCTCTGCTGTTTACCAGCTCTGCGACCTGAGTCTCAGTTTTCTTCATCTTTGAAGTGGGGATAATATTAGAATTTATCTCATGGAATTGCTATAATGGAGGAATGAACTGTACATGATACAGTATGGCATACAGTAAGTGCTCAGCAAATGCACATGTATGAGTATGTATATATTATCATGTGTGTATATATATAGTTAGTTATTTACATAGAGAGATACAGAATATAAATATATAATTATATTAAAGTTAAATAATTATATATAAATACAAATATATTAGTATGTTCAATATATAAGCATATATTTGTATGTTTAATGTAACCATAAGGGCTTATATAAATATGTAGGTACTATAACATGCCAGCCTTTGTAGATGAGAAACTCAGAATGAAGAGAGACAAATGTGCTTGGAATTTCTCAATTAAGAAAAATCACAAATGCTCATTATATAACTAAAAATTAATAAGAAAAAAAAAAGGGAAGCCACTGCTTCAATATAATACAATGTCCTGATGGGGTACAGGACATGGTCTCAAGATTTTACATCTATTAATTCATCTGATCCTCATAATAACCCTGTTATTATCCTTGTTTCGCTCATGAGAAAACAGGTTAATTAACTTGTCAATGCCACAAAGCTAGTAAATGGTGGAGCCAGGAATCAAATCCCAGCTGTCTGGCCTTTGCGCTCAACCCCTGCAGAAAAAGTCCTCAACTAAAGCATGGCATCTGAAGCTCTGTAGCATCCATCCAGCAGGCACTAGCTACATGTGGATATGCAAATTTAAATCAATTAAAACTAAGTGAAATAAAGGTTCAGTTCCTCAATTATATCACTTACATGTTAGTCATCTCAAGTGCTTGAAAGCCACACGTGGACACCACTGGGCAACACAAAGAGCAATCCCATCATTGCAGAAAGTTCTATTGGGCCGCACAATTCTAGATAACTCTAGGAAGTATTAGCCAAATATAAGGCTCAAATGCAATAGGTATCACAAAGACTTTTTTTTTTTTTAATTAAATACCACTTCATAATGTTATTTGCACCTAGTACACGTTTTTTCTTTTTAAAAATAAGACATGCCATATTAGTCACAATATTAACAAAATATAAGCATCCACATAGACTATATTCTAGGGTGACTTCATTTGTACAGCTTCTCAGAGAAACACAAGTATATTTTTGTTGTCTATCAGCCAGTGTTGGACTTTTTGGAATTCACAAGGCTGCAGGGCAGGTGTCCCCAACACTACCCAGATGGGTGTCTTATGCACAGGGCCATGGAGCTAGATGATTCCCACCAGAGAAGTCAGAGATGGCACTCCTCCCTTCCCCGCCCAGCTTTCAATTCCATACTGTGAGACCCCCAGCATGACCGGAAGCTTCATAGGATGGCATCACCAGACCTGTGGCTTCATGGGAGGGGCTGGGAGCTCAGTACTCTTCAAAATCCACAGGCACTGTCTGCAAAGAGCTTGCTCTGATCTCTAAATTGGAGACCCAGAATCCCAGCCTTTAGAAGAGGGGAGCAGAATGGGGGAGGGAAAGGAAGAACAGTGAATAACTGAAAAGTTTAGACCCAATTTAGTGAGCTTGCTGTAGGAACCTGGCTGCTAGGAAGCAAGAGGCGTGATTTTTAGTGCTGCTTGGAGCATACAACAGGGCTTAGGGATGTCAGAGCCATGAGAGAAATAAAGCATTAGGAGTGAGTGGAAAGTTGGTTCCCCTCTCCCATCCTGACAGCAAGTGTGGTTTATCTATCACCAACTAACTGTCCATTTTGGGGACAAAGACCTAGAGAAGCTAGCCCAAGACACATTCAGAACTCTGGAGACAATGGCTCCATGTGACTTGTTCTTCCCAAGAACCTAAGTGACCCACCATGGCTTCTACTCAGGAAACCATCATGCAACTTTCTGCTCAGCCTTCTTAAAGCTCAGCTGCATAGGACGATGCCACTGCCCCAGATCTGAAGGCAGAGGGGCTTCCCAGGCCCCAGTGGCAGCTTCCTGGGCAACAATGTCCCCCTGACCTGCAGCCGACTCCAAACTGCAAAGCAGTTTGATCTACTCATCTCAAGCGGATTTGCTGTGTCTAAAAAGCTCTTGATAACAAGAAGGAATGGGACAGAGTAATGCTGGGAATACATATTATGCCAAAACTTGTTGCTCACCTGCGTTTGATACATTTAAACAGCTTTCCTGCTCACCTTCCTTTCAGCCACTTTGCCCTACTCCCAGCCTCACAAAAATCACTTGGGAAATGAGGAAAATCTGAATAGCAGCGAACATCTGATCATAATTCCTCCTGTGTGTTTTGTTCTTGCAGGCTTGGGGCTTGACCTTGAAAGGTGACTTTTACTACTTCCAAATCTTCCTCCACACTGCACAAATCCTCCTTCACAATCAGGGTTGATCCTGCCATTCTCTCCCTCATGAGCCATCAATGGCTCCCATGTCCTATAGGCAATCAAGGCCCTCCACGGCTCCGGCTTCATCTCCCACATACGCCTTGGCTCTACATTATGTGCAAAGCCCTTCTCCCCATCTGTGTGCCTTTGCGAATGCTGGTCCCTCTGCCTGGGGCATGCTCAATTCCTTCCAAACGTTCCTCACATCCCAGTTAGATCTACCACCTGTCTGTGAGTTGGGCTAAAGTCAGCTCCTTTTCTAAAGATCTTGTGCCTGGGCCAGGGCCTCCATAACTATCTTCTGTAGTCAGCCATTGCACTTCACACTTGTCCCAGCCGGCCCTGCAATACGGTGCACTGGGTACTTGTGTCTCCCCCTGCTGGCCTGGAGGGTAGGAACCGGATCTTATTCTTTGCAGCCTTTACCCTCCCAGTGTTTATGCACATAGTAAATGCCTCATAAATATTAAATTGAGTTGATGGCTATCCTAAGTAAAAAAGCTCCTTGTCTGTTGCCCTCTTAGTTATTTAAGACACAATACAGAAATGGCTAAAGTGTTATACACTTATCACAGGCAACAGGCCTTGGAGGTTTGGAAGTCAAACTACTAAATTGGTTTTAAGCACAATCCATAAAGATGAATGATCTAGCAACACTGGTCTATTAACACTATTATCTTGCCTATTACTTAAAAGCTGCCTGGGGAAGCATTAAGTGTGATTCTAGGTAGCAGACAATGCAGTGGACAAATGCCACAGATCCTATGGGGATTATCTGACTTGCCGATAAGAACCCCAGAGAGGAAACAGGGAAGGCTAACTCTGACTTCCCTGTGGTGGTGTGTAGGTCCCCGGGTGTTTGAGCAGACCATCCTCGATCATTAGGGTTTCTTTGCTTGATCCCTGGACAACCTGCATCTACATCACCTGTGGGGCCAGTTAAGGAAGCAGATTCTTGGGCCCCACCCCAGTCTTCTTAACCAGAGTTACCTATGGTTGGGGTGTAGGAGTCTGCATTTTAAATAAACTCCCCAGGGGACCTTTATGCTCATTAAAATTTGTGAACCTTTACCTTCCATTCTTAGAAGTATGCAGTCAGGCTCTGGAAAGAGTCATGTCCACGGACAACTTGCTTCTCCCAGTCATATGCACATGGTGATGAGGACCTAAAGAGTCCCTATTGCCTTCAAGGAAATTAACAAATCATTTAAGCTTGGTTTGTCCATCTATAAAGGAGAATATGGAGGAGAGGAGAGTGAAGCTGTGCTTGAAATCTGTCCCAAGGTCACTGGGGTGGGGGGCAGAAAAAATAGTAACCCATGAAACTGCCAATCCTTCTCTAAGTGATACAATCATCTTTTCTAAGATTAAAAGGATTTTTTTTCTTTTGTAGAATGAAGTATCACCACTTTAATTTTTCTCCTTCTCCTCCTCTGTCTCTTAACTTCCCTATTCCTTAGGGGGTAGGGTGGGGGTGGGGGTGGGAAGAAAAGCAATCAGATAGTTCCTAGAACCAAAAACAAATTAGTTTTCAGAATAGATCCAATGTAAACACACATAGCACAGCTTCCTTGGAAGAGGACAGACAACTGGAAGGCAGAAGTGCACCTCAGGAACATCCTACATGTGAACAATGGATGTTCCACCCAGGGTTGGCGCACTACACCACATGAAGGCTACACGAACGTCATCACAAATGTGAAATCATGAGTGTGATGGGCAGAGAATGGCCATGCACTCAAGGGGGAGGAAGACTAGACTTAGAGGTTCCCAGCCTTTCGCTGGATCTGAAAGATGAGAACAGAATCTCTGCTTTACGTTAGCTCCGAAGGACATGGGAGCCTGTGGTCACTGACTGGGAAAGCTCAGCTGTGATCCTCAAGGATGCCTTCTAAATCCCACCGGGCTGACCAGGTGCAGGCCAAGTTCCATGCCGCCTACCTAGAGTCCTGCTTTCTTCTCCTTCCCACTCCCCACCATTTGAAATTTTCAAGACCAAAATAAAAGCAAACTTTGCCAGAGACAGAGGCCTTCCAAGATTCCTTGTCTATAGAGATCTCAATTTAAAAAAATAAGACTTGAAAGGCAAGTTCTAGAATGAAGGGTTGAACCACTGTCAGCATGGCTTGAACAGTTACAAATTCAGGCAAGGTGAGCCTTGTCAGGGTAGGCTCATTCCTTCTTGGTGTGCTCCAGGACTCGGTAGGGGACCCCAGTGGCACTTCTGGAGCCGTGTTCTTCTTGCATGACGGGCAGTGTGGCAGGAGCATAGATCTCAGAGATGTTGTCGTTGTTTTCCAGGGCCCCATAGGAAAAAGAAGCTTTGAGGTCGGGCTGGACTGCCATTCCCTTGTCATGCATGTTCTGCATACCTGAAATGAAATCCATTTTCCCCACATGATTATGTGGTGAGGGGGCCAACAGAGGTTGCATCTTTCTCTATCTTGTCACAGACTAATTATAGTGCTCAGGAGCTAATCATGTGTATTGTCAATTTCCTGAATGCTTAAGATTTAAAAAGAGAACACTAATAAATACACACTAGAAATATTACAGTTGCCAAGTAACAAGGATGGATGTTCAGGAAGTATGCACCCAGATCAGCCACTGTCAAGAGGAACTATCAGTTGGGCCTAGAATGAAGTGGCAATGTCTGTTTGGGCCAAAGGTGCAGTAAAATTTAGACTGTGCTTTGAACGTGGTAGATGCCAACACTTTACTGCTAAATTAAATCAGAACCCAGGAAAATTCTCATTATACTGTTGAGGAAGGACATTAATTTTAAGGCCATGGACACATGACAGGGACAGGTGCATCATAATGTTGAGAGAGTGAGAGAGAGAGAGAGAGAATTTTGACCTTTCACATTAACAACCCTGACCCATGTATAGGGTAAAGTATGATTTTAAAGGAAACTTTTATTACTGAAAAAGCTTTAAACCAAAATGTGAGACATCACAGGCAATCTACTAGTACCGTAAAGTGTGATTTTGCTTATTGTTTGCGAAGACTTTTAATTCCTTTAACCTTATTCTATATTTCCCTGTATCAGGTGGGATCTGGTTACATCTTAGGCCAACTCTTTTCCTGCCTGGGAATTAAGACCTTTCAGATTCTCCTGTCTCCAGGCTGAGTCATAAGAAGTTGAAAGCGAAGTGTCTTCCATAAAATTGTGATGGTAATAACAGCTGGCACCTGACTGCTGACATGCCCTAGGCACTGGGCTGACCACTTTGAATAGTAACAACAACAGCAATAATAAGTAACATGCACTGAGTGTTTAGTTGGTGTGCTCACTGTTATGAATATTTTTAGTTTGATCTCATTTGATTCTCACACTGACCAATAAGAAAAATGAGGTGGCTGGTAGTTAATCAGGAGTCCTTGGGTGGCACAACAGGTGAAGCCCTTGACTACTATCGGAAAGGTTAGCAGTGCAAACCCATCTGGAGGTGCCTTGGAAGAAAGATCTGGCAATCTGCTTCTGAAAGGCCACCCCTTGAAAACCCTATGGAAAATGGTTCTACACTGCACACGTGGGATTGCCATGAGTTGAGGCAACTCGATGGGAACTGGTTGGCTGGTTGGTTGATTTAAGAGTCTGTGTTTTCTCCTTGGAAAGAACAATCATGGGAGAAAGAAGGGCTGCTCAGGCATAGGGAGACAGCTCAGGGGGTAGGAGTGCATGGAGGGATGGACATGGGGAAGAGGTAACTATCAGGAGGAAGTGGGAGGGGAGATGTTGCATTGTGCTAAATTGTGGTCAATGTCATGAGACAAAGTGTATATGAACTGCTGTATGGAAAGTGTATTTGCTCTGTAAATTTTCACCCAAATCACAATTAAAAAAAAAAAAAAAAAAAGAGTCTGTATTTTGGATTTTATTTGCCTGGGATCACACAGCTAATAAGTGGCAGTGCCAAGGTTCAAACTCAGGGGTTTAAACACCAAAGTCCACACTCTCAACCAAAATGCTGTGTGGCCTGCTTGTATCCCCTGCATTTAATCTCTAAACAACACTATGACAGATGCTCTATTATCCTCATTTTTCATATAAGGAAATGGAGATTCAGAGCAGTGAAGTAACCTGCCCAAGGTCACACAGCTAGTGAGAGACAGATCTGGGATCTAATGCTGATACTCTTATGTACTCTGCAAATGGCTTAGGAAAACCCTGTCAGTGGAAGGCCCTTTGCCTCTATATTGCACAAGGCTTAACGATTGGTCATTTAAAGGGCATGATTTAAGAGTCTGGAGTCCCTGAGTAAAGCAAACTGTTAAAGCGCTGGGTTACTCACTGAAACGTTGGAAGAAAGGCCTGGTGTTCTAAAAAAAAAAAAAAAAAAAAAAAAAAAAAAACAACCATTGAAAACACTATGGAGCACAGTTCTACTCTGATACACAAAGGTTGCCATAAGTTGGAGTCAACTTGACAGCAACTGGTTGGTTGGTTGGTTGATGAGTCTGTGGTTTAGATTTTTTTTTTTTTAGGGGTGGGGATTAGGGGTGCTGAGGGGTACCTGGCCCTCAAGGGATGAAAGCTGGCTTACTAATAATGATTTAGCTATTGAATTTTGTCAGTACCCTCCAGCCAAAGACCACCAGGAATATAACTATAAATTGAATAAGTTTGGTTTTATTGACTCATTGGAATGAAGATGTACAACATGAGGAAGTGTGGGTGTCTCATAAAGAGGCTGTTTGTTAAAGGGGCTTATCATAGGATTTGGGCTTGTGTTAGCTGATTATGGAGAGGGTTCAAGGAAGTGAGGCTTTGTCTTGGATTAGATGCTGTCTGGAAATGTGATAAGTCTGTCATTGGGAGATCATAATACATCTTCTTTAGAAGGAGGGAAGTCTGGACTAAGTCTAAAGCTGTGACTGATAAAGAAACAGCAGTCATTGATATTAACCAAGATAAGGGGATGGCCGGTCATTTTTATGGTTTGGATCATGTGTTCATGTTTTGTTTGTGTTCAGACACGATTACAGACTGATCTCCTCTGGGTCTTGAGCTGTCACAGTCACAGAGTGGCCTTGGTGGGTGCTGGTGATCTATGAAATGGTTTATGTCCAACTGAAGAATACCAACAGCCAGCCATGAGTGCCAGTCCAGCTCTCAGCCATCAGGGGGTGCTTTTCTCATTTTTCAGGAGTCTTTCGGGTTCTAGAATTACTTAAAGCTTCTCCAAATCCCACGTAGTGAAAGTTTGGAATGTGTATGCCACCTGAACAGCCGCTATGGGCATACCTCATATTGCAGGTTTGGTTCCAGGCCACCACAATAAAGTGAGTATCGCAAAAAAGCAAGTCATGTGAATTTTTTTGCTTTCCCAGTGCATGTAAGAGTTATGTTTACTATATTACATTATATTATATTAATATATTTATTATATTATAGTCTAGTATATGTGCAATGTTGTTGTTGTTATGTGCCCTCGAGTCAGACCCGACTCATAGCGACCCCTCCTTGGGTTTCCGAGGCAGTATCAGTATGGAACTCCTTCCGAGGAGTTGCTGGTGGGTTTGAACCGCCAGTCCTCTGGTTAGCAGTTCAATGCCTTAGGCACTGTGCTACCAGAGCTCCTATATGTGCAATAGTATTATGAAAAAGTTTGAAATATTGTGAGAATTACCAGGATGTGACACAGAGACACAGAATGAGCATATGCCATTAGAAAAATGGCACCAACAGACTTGCTCAATGCAGGATTATGACAAACTTCAATGTGTACAAAATGCAGTATCTGTGAAGTGCAACACAATGAGGTATGCCTGTACTTTCTGTTGTGAAGCTAACAATCTAGGTAGGCCAAAAGCAAGATCCTGATGCCCACTGGAATCAAGCAGCTAGAGAAGCAATTCAGGTTAAGCTTAGATTGTCCAGCAGTTCTAGTGTTTATGTCCTATCCATCATCAGGTCAAATAAGTATTTGAAAATTTCGGTTTTTTCAATCTAAAGGGAAACAAAACCAAATTTAACTAAGCATCTACCATGTCCCAGACACTGTGTGAGGGTCCTTTACACATAATATCCCACTACCCTGCAAGAAGGAATCCCAATTTACATGTGAGGATCAGAGGTCTTGGCATGTATCCAAGATCACATAGTGAGTAGGAGGCAGAGCTGGGACTTGAACCAGGTCTGTCTGAACTCCAAGCCCACGTTCTTCCGAGTACAGAACACCTGCTTAATCAGAGATGCCCTGCCTGACAAGGCATACCAAAAGGGCAGGGTCTCCTTTCTTCAAGATCTGATTTCCCCACTGATCAGAAGGTATAAAGAGAAAGCCAAGAGCCACACCCAAAAACAGAATACAGAATGTTGATACCTAATTACCTTCGGTTACCTTCTGTGCCCCATCAGAAAATACATCTTTTTATATGTATATATAAATAGTTATACATACATATATCTGTACACACACATACACATTTTATAAACACACAAACACATACACATACCACATACTTGCACACACACAGAGTTGACACCTCACCTATCTGGAATTCAGCTATCCAGCGCCCTCATCTATCCGGAACACAGCCGAGAAACAAGGAAGTAAGCAAAAAAGGCATCTGAGCAGCCAGATTAGATGTTGAAAAAGTCCATGCAGTAAAGCTCATGCACGTAACTCCTAGGAGACCCCGCAGGTCCCCACTCAGACCTCATTGATTTTGATGTTACACACATTTCTAGTGAGTTGGGTCAGATAAGAAGATTGATGTGGAGTTGCTATAAGCAGGCAGTCTGGTAACAAGGACAGACAACAGCTTAATAGCAAGAGATAGGAAATAATAAAAAGTAGACACATAAACCCTGGGGCCATTTAATGTAGGGGCACCTCCGTCAGCCCTGAGAACAACCTGCTTCAAAATCACAGCAGTAAACAGACCTTTATTAAGCCCTTTATTAGACTGTGTTCATGAAGGGTGAGACATAATGTTTTGCAGAGTTCCACCTCCCATATTTAAAATAAAAACTAATTTCATGGTAAAGAATGCAAGCCAGTGGTCAGCGGGAACCTACAGAATTTAGGCCAGCAAACCTACAAGGGGTCAACCTGATGCCACACCTTTTCTAAATCTGAATTCCTTTTGGCTGGACGGGTCTTCTCCAGTCCTCCACAGGCCCCACCACTCCCTATTGTGCTTCACACATTTATATGACCATCATTGCTTGAAGGCATTTGTATTTGGGTCCCTCAGAGTAAACCCTTAGCTCCCTGGGAAATCAGGCTTTCTAGAACAATCTCCTCCAGAGGAATCCAAAGAGCAGGGTTATAATACTTGAATTTCATTTGCCCTATTCTCCTCCCCTCTCTGATCATTCCATTCCAGCTAGATGAATGGGTTTTCCCTTTTGCAGGCATGAAGCCTGGTGCTGCAGAACATAATTATATCCAGGGTGAGTCAGGATTTTCTTTAAAAGATCCTGAAATAGACTTGGAAACTGGCAAGAAGTGCTCAAAGCCAAGTAGGTGCCTCAGCCATAGCCCCTCTTCTACACACCAAGATTTAAAAAAAAAAAAAAGACAGTGGGAGAACAGTCACACCATAATGGCACAGCACACCTTCCCAGTACCAAGCCCAGGGGTTGGCTGTCTGCTTTGAAACAGGAAATAGCAGTCATTCTATATGGACGGGCTGGCAGCTGGACACATGGGGTTTGAACGTTACCTGGCATGGCATCCATGGAAATATAGGGTTCAAATGGAATGGCCTTCTTCCTGTTACGCGTGATTAAGAAGACGCCCAAGAATGCAATGAGGCATCTGAAGAACGGAGATAAGGGAGGAAAAGAAATAAGGTCAGGAGTGAGGTTGAGGAGGGGTATCTTCAAACCCATGTGGTGAGGAAAAAGCACAAAGAAGGGGTGCAGGGTGTGGAGGAGGGAGGAGGGTTCACCAAAGCCTACCAGGCCTGTGATCAGCAGGGAGCAGCAGCGCTAGTTGAACAATAATAGTGCGTGTGCCTCACACCCCCTGGGCTCTGCACAAGCCCTAATCAAAGTAAATTAGGCTTTCCCGGGTAAAACTCTCAAGGTTCTTCACTTCCACCCAGTCAGCAATCTCAGAACCTTGCCTTAAAAAATGTTTTGTGTTACTCTGGGTGATGGTTGCACAACGTGATTAATGTAATTGATATCATTAAATTGTACATGTTACAATTACTGAAAATGTTGGGTTGTACTGAAAATGTTGAATTGGCAAATGTGTTATATAGACTTTTGCACCTATTAAAAAAAAAATCCACTGGAGCATAGTTCTTCTCCCACACACATGGGATTGCCATGAGTCAGAGACGGGTTGGTTCTGCTAAATATATGTATACATAAGTTTAAATTAAAAATCCTTCATGCCCAAATTCAATCAATACAGAAGTGTAAAACCAAAAATAACAGTTGCTATTCCAACTCACAGAGACCCTGCAGGACAGAGTAGAACTGCTCCAAGGTTTCCAAGGCTGTAAATGTTCATGGAAGTAGACTGCCCCATTGTTCTACAGAGTGGCTGGTGGGTTCGAACCGCCAACCTTTTGGTTAGTAGCGAAGACTGTAACCAATGTGCCACCAAGGCTCCTTATACAGAATAATAATAGGAAGTAAAAATTGTAAAGGCCTGTACTCTCCCAGTCTCAGTCCTCCAGGTGGGTGTATATTCTTCTGGAGTTTTTTTTTTTTTTTCCCCTCTTGTTCCTTTATAAACAAGCAAATTTTCAAAAACTGAGATATAAATTACATGTGATAAAATGCATAAAACCTATAGCTCGATGACTTTTACTTGTTCTCAGGTAATCACTACCTAGGTTAGACAGAAATCATTTCCATTCTCCTAGAAAGTTTCCTTGTGCCCAAGTCCATGTCAACCCATTCCCAGAGGGAACCACTCTCTGACTTCTATCATCACAGATTAGATTTGCCTGTTCTTGAACTTTCTAACGTCGCATTCCCCTTCCCCACATCTCCTGGTAACCACTAACCTTTTGTCTCAATGGAGTTAACTAGTCTAGATATTTCATATAGTGGGATCATACAATATTTGTCTTTTTGTGTCTAGCTTATTTCACTCAGCATAATGTTTTCAAGGTTTATCCATGTCATAGTATGTATCAGAACTTCATTTCTTTCTGTAGGTAAATAATGCTCCGTTGAATGGATAGATCACATTTTGTTTATCCATTCATCTGTGGATGGGCTGTTTCCACCTTTCAGCTATTGTTGTTCTTGAACTTTCTGTAAGCATATCATATAGTATGTATTCTTTCACTGATAAAATGCTTTTAAGATTCATCCATTTTAATATGCGCACTAGTAGTTCACTATTTTCAATTGTTGGGTAGAATTCCAATTTGCTTTTCTACCTTCCTGTTGATGGACATGTGTTCTTTTGGGTTGTTTCTTGTTTGTGTCTATTATAAATTACTATAAATATCAATGTACAAGTCATTTTGCCAACAAATGTACTAATTTCTTTGGGGTGTATACCTAGAAGTAGAATTGCTAGATCAC